GGCCAATAAGACACTAACCCCACCCCCGCGTCCGGGGGGACGCGTGGATGAGCGCATACATAAATAAAATAAGCTGCTTGTTTTGTTGTGGCGGCTGCGTTGACTCTTTTGGGTGAGTTGCATTCTTAGCTCATAATGTTACGTCGACCACCAGGTCGAGAAGCTTTCCCAGGAGATGTCAGTCGCTAACTAAGGACCTCCGTGAGAGCTGTATGCGAGGAAACTTGCACATAAAGAATGTAGAGCCATATATCCCATCAGAAATGGTAAAAGGAGCTTCTACATATTCCATTCCTTTTTTGTTCCTATTTTAATTGGAGCGCCTGATATGGCCTTTCCACGATTAAACAATATCAGTTTTTGGTTATTACCACCATCATTATTACTTCTTCTAAGTTCTGCTTTAGTGGAAGTAGGTGCTGGTACCGGGTGGACGGTCTACCCACCTTTAAGCGGTATAACCAGTCATTCTGGAGGAGCTGTGGATTTAGCTATTTTTAGTCTTCATTTATCGGGTGTTTCCTCAATATTAGGTGCTATCAATTTCATTACGAAATCTTTTTTCAATATGTTGTGTTTTTTTCTTAATAAGCGTTTTTCTTATTTTCATCAATTTTGATTGGCTTTTTTTGCATCCAAAGCGTATTTTATTGAAGTTCATCATACATACTAAATAGAAGTGCAAAACACCCAAACCCAAAATAAAAAAAGGAGCGCAGCTTGTGCACAATCAATTGTTTTTCAAATCTTTGATAGCTACTTTACCAAAATGGATTAACAAATTGTCTGCTGCGCAGAAGTGACCATGGCGGAAGTAGCCATGACTGCTGTAGCACCGGCCTCGCTAACTAAAGCCCTGCTGGCCTCGGCTGCTCTAGCTCTCCTCTGCTGTTGTTGCCTCTCCCTAAGATGGCGGAATAGAATCCTGTCGCCCACTGGTCCTAATGCCAAGTGGGCAACTGGGCGTCTAGCTGATCGCAATAACCTCCGGTCATCCTCTCCAATGTCCTCCTCGTCACTCGTAGGCTACAACGTTGTGCACCGTCTACACTAGGACACTCTAGGTGCCTACCGCAACATAATGCTCAGACCAACTAATTAGTTGGTGGCTATTTTGGAACAGATATCATTTGAGGTCAACAGGTAAGTCAGATTCCTACAACTGAAACTATTTTTGGTCTGACTAGTCCACAAACAGAAGCACCAGGAACAATAAACAGTTCTAACTAATGTTGTCTGCCAGATGTCAATGGCAGTACATCTAACTGCAAGGAACATGAATATGGACGAAGCACAGAAATCCAGATTGGAAAATCACACTGAAGTCCAAGTAGTCGAAGCAAGAGCAGATAGCACAATGGAACCGAGTAACCATCCATTTGAGAACGATACAGAAGAATCGTGAGTCAATGTCGAAGCTCAACAGCAAACACCAACAGCATAACCCAATGTAGCTCTCTCTCTTGAATGGCGCCAGGCGCCCTATCTACTCTACAGCCTAAGCCTACAACTACAACAATGAAAGCAACCAGACAACTTGACAACCAGCTAGTGATGATGTCAACACCAATGCCGACCTCCACCTCCACCAGGTACGTCTCCTCCTTACCCACACTCTCCCTTGTTATCCCACACATCGCCCTTCACCTCCGAAGAACCACCTTCGCCCTCACCTCCCCTGCGCCCTTAAGCAGCCTGGCTATGGCCGCCAGCGCCCTGTGCACAGGCAGCGCCCTACCGCGTAGAGCCTACCTGTCTGGCACCTCATCCTAGCGCAGCAGCTCGCATTAGCGCAGCGTGCCGGCATTGCCCCCAATGGCCAAGATCGCCTGCCCACTCGCCCTGCTTGCCTATATGCCAGTGTTGCGTGTGGGCGGCCTCCCTTCAGCCTCCGACTGGGCCCCAGTGCCTGAACCCATGCCCGATGCAGTTGGGGCCCGGGTGATGCAGTTGCGCCTCTTTCGTCAAGGCCTGCGGCCAAATTCAGATAGTGGGCCGATTTCCCTTTGCCATTTTCAGCCTCTATACCCAGCATTCATTGCCGGCCTCACGTTCAAGTGCCCAGGGCCTAACTAACTCAGCGGCCCTGGGATCTCCACATTTGCAGAGATTCGAGACTCGGTGCACTCCAACCAACTGGCGTGCTGCAACTGTATGGACCCCACTTCGTGAAATGTTTGCACAGAGGGCTCTTGTTGATTTGCTGGCCCGCCTTCACTTAGGGCGAGCACGAGGCTTGTTGGGGCCTTAGCCCAGAACATGTACATCGTGGCAAGGCCCCTTCTTGAGGGCTGAATCCTTACATAACTAATCAAAAACATAAAAAAAAAATCAGTTGTGTGGATAGGACAGCATGGAATTTTCTCGAACTTATCACCTGGAATCAACCCCTCCCTTAGTTACCCTAAGTATCACTTGACGTCAGCGTCCCTGAGCGATCTGGAGAGCGTTGCGTGTCTAAAGGTGTGTGTCCGACCCACCCCTATGCCCCGAGTATCCACTAAGCTTGCCAGCCTTGCACGTATATTTATCCTCGGCGTGCCGCGAGCCTTACATGACTGGCTGATCTAGAGGCATTTTAACGTCCAACCCCAAGTGACATCGGGAATTATTTTACGTCGCAGTAGGACGACGATCACAACCAGTGATATCCCCTTCCCGTGTTTATTTATAGACGCCGGGTGCTCGTCTTTCCTGTAGGGCTGGCCTGCCCAGTAGTACCCATCTAACAGCGCAGCAAGCCGAACAAAGGACAAGCAGCAAGGCATGCGTGCTCTACTCCCTGTGGGTTGGCATGGTGACCGTGACCCATTGCTTCGTCCACGGCCCTTCAGAAACCTCCACGCATCTCCACCCAGATGCTTCACGTGAACATTGTCGACTCAAGGTTGAGCGCACTCCACACCCCACGATGAGAGGACTCTCAAGAAGGAACACACAACCTCACGCTAAGAAGTGTCGGAGAGGGAAGATAAGGTTAAGAGCAACGTACCTCAATTAGCTGCCCCCAACCACAAAGATAATTCTCACCAGATGACCAGATGGCGATTGCGATGACCAGTCACTGCATCGGCACAACCAGCATTATCTCGCCGTTCCACCTCAGCATCAATCACACATTAGATATTCTCATCACACTGTCCAGACCACATTTCACCCCACGTAGCCTTCCTGGCGATCCCCTCACCTCCTAGGTCGCCAACACACTCGTCTCCACCCTCCTCACTACACACCACTTACAGCCAAACTCGCCCAGCAGACCGCATGTATGTACCACATAAGGCAGAAGACAAGCGCCATATGAGTGCAATCGTACCACAACTCTGATACCAAATTGCAAGGAAGATGAGCAATAGCGAACTTCAACAATCAAACAGCATCATACATATGAGTCCAGATAGTCTTGACCTCGAACCAACATCAGAATTGCATCATGAGATTCACCAAATAAGAACACACCAAGAGTTCATAATTGACAATGCTGAAATAGTCCCATCATCATCAACAAAGAACCAAAGTTGATATCCTATCTGGCGCTCGACGCCCAGACTACATGTGGCAGATCCTATCTAGCCTATGCTACGAAGCCGAAAGATGACATCAACAGCATTCCCGAAGTACGAGCATATGGCGACCAATGTCGCACGCTTCCAGCACCAGGCTTGTCTCGCGCTACACTCACAACCTCGTTCCCCAACTCACAGATGCCACTAGCACCCAAGGACCACCCTGCTCCTCACTCAGCTTACAACAACGCAACTCGGCTATGGCTGCGTGCTCCTTCCCTGCTCGCCCGTGAGAGCGTAGGCGCCAGCCAGCAAATAGCGCAGCAGCAGCGCTTGCGCAACATGCAGCCAGCACTCGAATGCCGAATGAGGAGGCAGACCCTTCCCTATATGGAAGTGGCCTGCCTGCGTCCAGTCCCAGGACGCTTCCAGTAGGCCCCGGTAGCCTGAGGCCCAGCACGACGAGAGCAGGCCTTGGGCAGGCCTTGGGCCTGAAGTGGTTGCCTGTGCCGAACTGCCTTCGACCTGTGTTTTTTGCCCGGTGCCTGTATTCAGCCCAGGGCCTGCTTCACATACATTCACACAGGCGGCCCAGGGCCTGGGTTCACTCAACCAACTGGCACTGCGCAACTGCCTGAATTTCCCTGAGTTGCGTGGTGGCCAGAAAAGGGCCCTGAGGGCCTCGTCGAGCCTGCCTTCACTTAGGGCGGCCGACGGGCTGCAAAAATAGGGCCTTATGGGGTTCATAGAGGCAATGGCCTCGCACTTCTTTTCAAATTATTTCTTCCAAAATTGCAACGAAAACTTTTTTTTTTTTTCGTAATTCAAAAATATTTTCTTTCGAAATTCCATATTTTCTTGTAAATAACTTTAAATCTAAATCAGAATCTATTTTTTTGAAATTAATTACCTCTTCAAGCCTTTATTTTTGAAAATTTCGTTGAGCAAATTTCTCTTCTCGTAAAATTTTGTTCTACCCATATTTTGAATTAATTTTGAATAAATAAAATTCCAATCGGAATAAATTTATTTATTCAATATTAACTCCATACTTTCCAAAAAATCTTGGCAATTTTTTTTTTTTTTGAATTTATTGATCAATAAATAAGGGATTCCCCCCCCCCACCTCCACATGCCACCATGCCAAACCAAGAACTCCCAACGTGCCGCCGCCGCTGCCGCTGTTGTCGCCGCCACCGCTGGTGCTGCATCTTCCACACCTGTTCAGGCCACGTCCTCCACCCCCTCTTCCCTCGACGTGGCCGCATCCTCCATCAACATGTTTGACATCCGCACCGACTCAGTCGATAGCATCGCCCGCAACCTCGCAGGCGAACAACCACCAGCAAACACCGCCACCCCCGACCTCTTCGCCATCCTCCACGCACTCAACACCCTTCGAACCTCCGTCACCGCCTCTCTCGACGACATAAAGGCCAACATGTCATCCATATGTGACTGCATCACCACGATCGAAGGGACCATCCCCTCCATCACGATCGTCACCACGGCTGCACCTCCGTCCTCCACAGTGCAAACCACTCCATCCTCCACAGTGCAAACCACTCCCTCCTCCACAACCGCCTCCAACAACACCCCCCTGCCATCCTCCTCCACTCCCACCACCACATCCACCAACCCGTCAACCTCCACCACCGTTCCGTTCCCTCCACCTCTTCCCTCATCCGGCGCATCCAGCACACCGCCTCATTCATCGCCCATCCACGTCACCCCTCTTCCCCCCCCGCACTCCTAAACCCTCTCCCAACCCATCATGACCACCTCCACCATCCCCACCATGCATCCCACCTATTCCCAAGTCACCTCCAGGGTTTACCCCTCAATGCCACAACTCCCCCCCAACTAACTCCTTGAGGACAACAACCAAATCGACCACACCTGCTACGACACCACCCTCGATAACCTCAGCTTCAACACCCTCGCGCAGATCGTTCACCGCGACGGGGAAATCCCCCGTTCCTTCCGATTTGGCAAAATCATGTCCTTCTCCGGCCTCCCCCACGAGGACGTTTTCCTCTTCCTAACCCAGCTTCAGAACTCTTTTCASCTCCACCACATGCCCCTTGCCCACTGGCTCCCCATTGCCACCTCCCGCCTCCTCGGCAATGCAGCCAAATGGTGGATGGCTGAAGTTAGCAACCGCCGAGCCTCCGGAGGACCACGTCACACCTTCCTCCAATGGGCCAACCTTCTCACTGCCACCTTCCACCCCCAAAAAACCATTGACGACTACCTTGAATAATTTTGTCACCTCCGCCAGACCGGTCCCACAGGCCGGTCTGGCGGAGGTGGCAAAATTATTCCCCACCAGGCCGCTTCGTCCAATACGTCCGCTCCCTCTGCCACCACCTCCCCCACACCGTCATTCCCGACTTTGCATTCATCTCCCGCATCAAACGAGTATGCCACAAAGACCTTGCAACCGCCCTCGCCCACGAACCCGACATGCCCCTTGCTGACCTCCTCTCTCGCATGCTTCACCATGATCGACTCCTCCACCCCCACCACCAGCCCCCGCTCGGCACCTCCCGCACCCGCTTTTTCCACCACATCACCCCCGAAGACACCACCTCCATCACTTCCTCAGACGAGTTCACCAAACCTGACCCCGACGCATCTTCCGATTCACTCGACTCTTCATCCCTCACTTCCGAGGAACGCGATGTCATCCAATTCATGAGAATGGAGCACAAAGATCGCAGCTCCCGACCACCCTCATCTACCCCACCCTCCCGCCTCAAGAAACTCAACCCCGAGGACCGCACCTACCTCCAAGCAAAAGGAGGTTGCTTCCCTTGTCGCCAATTGGGGCACCAACAAACCAATTGCCCCAACGCCGCATGATTCACCCGCCATCGACAATGTCAGTTCCTCGAGCTTGGTTAGGTCCTCTTCCCGGATGGGAAGTCGGGACAACCCGTCCGCAGCCTGTTTTTTGGTCCAGGATAACCTCTCGACCCTATAATCGTAAAGTCTAATATGTATCATCCACCGAGCGATGGTCGGATCGGTCAACGAGAAGTCCTTTTGAAGGATTGTTGCCACTGCGGTGGGGTCAACCCTCAGGGGAAATCGTCGCCCGTATATGTAATGGCGGAAGGCCTTCAGGCAATGCAGCACTCCCAATACTTCCTTTTTGAACTGGCTATAATTCCGCTCAGTGGGATTCAAGGTCCTGCTCTCGAACCGTAACGTTCTCTCCTTCCCTTCTCCATCCTTTTGAGATAAGAGGCCTCCTAGCGAGTAAGGCCCCGCGTCCGTAGAAACAATGAATGGGCGATTCTCCTCGTCCTCGAAGAACGAAACTCCTAGGACCTGCCCACCTTCGCAGAATTCCTCTTTTAGAGCTTCCATGGCCGCGGCCTGCTCCTCCCCCCAAATCCATCCTTCCGATTTCCTAAGCAGTCGTCTAAGGGGTTCCGCTTTCTCACCGTAGGCCTTTATGAAGATTCTCAAGTAGCCCACTACCCCTAAAAACTGCGTAACTTCCGTTATTGACTTGAGCGGCGATGGCCAGATCATCAATTTCTCTAATTTCCTGGGATCGGGCCTCCGCCCATCCTTGTCGCAAATGAAACCCAATATCTTGATGGACGACACGCCCCAGTGACTCTTAGTTCCGCTCACCATAAGGTTGGCATCGTCTAATTTCACAAGGACATCCCTGACATCGCTCATGTGGTCCACTACGAACTTCCTCACCCCGGGAAAGACCTCCATCTCATCCCGTTCGACCGACCCTTTTATCGGGAAGTCATCAAGGAAGACTTCCACCCTTTCAGGTATGAATTCCTTGAGGACCGCACTCATGGCTCCTTGGAGCACCGCCATGTCGTTTGTCCACCCCATTGGTACCACCATCATTTGGACCAGTCCCAAAGGCGTACGCATGGCGGTCATGTGCCTATCCCGGCAGTCCAAGGGAATCTCATCATACCCCGAAGAGAAGTCGCAGATTGAGTAGATTGAGCGGCCAGCCGATCCTTCAGCGAACAGATCTGCTTCAGGTATGGACCCTACGTCCCTTATGGTCACGGCGTTGGTTCTTTGGAGATTCTGGGTCCACCTCAACTTGTTGCTCCCTCCCTTCCTCAGAAAGAACCATTTGTTAGAGTACGCACTCTCGCAAGGTTCTGCGACGAAAGTCCTTATCTTCTCTTTAATAAATGTCACTATCTCCTCTTTCTCCTTTTGAGCATATTTCCACTGGGGTCTATCTTTCCAAGGTACGTGAGGAATCGTATGGATCCGGGCTCACTTAGCATATCTCGGGTCGATTCTCCCCCTTTCCGAGTCATCGAAGGCRATGGCCTTGTCGCAGCCCCTTAGGGTCATCGCCACGAACTCCATCTCTTTGTCCGTGAGGTTCCCGTCCCCTATGTCCATCTTTGCCAACCTGTGTGCAGTAATTCTCTGCCCTTCGGTCTCCTTCCTTTTCAGGATGATATCAGCGATTTCTTCTTTCGATATCGAATTTCCCCCCGTTCTATCCCGGTTGACCGCGACGGGTTTGACCTTTTCCGCCATGGTTTTGTGCTTCTTGATTCCGCCGGCTAGGAGGATTCCCCCAAAAAATACAGTCTCACACATCCACCGAACTCCTCCTCGTCCTTCTTTTCGTACCCTACGCCGTTGATCACCACCCTGCCCCCGACATCTTCGACCTCTAATCGGTCCCCCGGGGGTTCCTTATTCCTAAAGAGTGCTTCTTCCAGACGGACTTGGCATACCCTCGACAGGTTCCGCAGTCGTACCAAACACCCTTACAAGGGTATTTGGTGTGTTTTTTGCAAGTCGAGCAAGTGCAGTGTCGCCCGCCTGACAGCGTGCGCGTGAGCGGAAGCGTAGGTTCTTGTCAGGGTGAGAGGGGGCGTGGCGGCGTGGGGTATCGACGGCGAGGTTCAACCATGCGCAGCCTGGGTGTGCGCGACGTCGCAGGCCAGAGGGATGCGCGGCCCTGCGGCCCGCCGCCTCTTACCTATTCCCTCGCAAATATTTTTATCTGTTATTTTTTTTATTATTATCTCCGCCACGACCGCTTTTGCTAATGACCGGTTCTGAGGCCTGTGTCGGGACCGACAGGCCTGGCTCAGTTGCTACGTCGCCAGACACGAGGCACCGGTGAAAATCCTCCGTCCTACCCACGTCGAAATATGGACCGAAGAGGCTAACGGGTGTGAGGGCGGTGGGGTCTGTGGTTGTGGCTTCCCTCGCTTCCCGGTGTGGAGAGCGTCAATACCCCAAAGTGGAAGGGAATTGGAGAACGTTCCGAGTGGGCCTGTGGGAGTGCAGCCCGAGGGTGGCAGGGGTCGCTGCGGGCCCACCGTCCGCCGGCCACGACCTGATGTGAGAGGTTGAGTGCGAGCATGCCCGGTTGGGCCCGACAGAGGCAAACTGTGCCTAGGCAGGGCGGAGCCAGAGTAGGCCGGGGGCGCTGTGGCAGAGGGTCGCAGCGGTGCGGCGCAGATCGTTCGTCGGACTTGGGTATAGGGGAGAAGGGACTATTCGAACTGTTTGGTAGTAAGCCTCCTCCGAAATTTCCCTCAGGGTAGCATACCCTGTTGAGCGTCGTGGTGGAGTCTGCCACTACTAAGCGCTGCGTAGAGGGAGGTCACACGGACCGGGCAGCGGAGGAGCGAAGGCAGCACAGCACCATGGGGCAATGAGTGTGGGTCTGGTCGGACGGCACCGGGTAGTTGCGAAGGAATGAATAGCGGGCACGGGGTAGTCGCGGGTGAAATAGACCAGCAGCGGGCGGCGCTGTGCAGCAGTGAGACAGAGCAAGCGACCGACACTGGGCTGGTGAACGGCGTTGAAGCGGAGCAGCGAGATAGAAGGCGGGGCTGGCAGAGGTGAGTGGCGGGGCGAAATTGGACGGTGGGGCGCGCCTGGTGCACCCGCTAGTTGGAGATGGCAGGTAACGGGCTCGGCGCCAGGTGCACCTGCTAGTTGGAGGTAGTAGGCAGTGAGGCAGCGGGTGCAGTGAAGAGAGGGGGGGGGGGGTCGAATGAACCCGGATGGGTTCCCGCGTTAGGTACATGCGAAGGAGGGAGGAGAGAAAGTATCGATCCCACCCGTTTCTTGATGAAAACGGGTGGGAGAAAGGTCTATTCCAACGTTGCTCAGTAGGGCGAATCCAGTTCCAGTGGCGGAAGTAGTAGCAAGTTAGTAGAATTAGTGATCGAAGAAGAGGTCAGTTTGCCAGGACATGGCGGACGAAGGAGAAGGAGAAGAGGAAACGGGTATTATGTGCTTGACTGTGGACGAATTTAACCAAGGAAGGAGTCGGATCCGGGGTTCTTGGGGTAGGCGACCCGGATTCTGAAGCTGGAATTAGCAATGGGTTAGTACATTACGAGTTAGTAGAGTCGAGCACCTCGCGGAGCTATGGCGAGAAAGCAAAGGTGATGGGAGTGAAAGGAGGTGAATCTCGCTCAATCCTCGACGGATTCGAGCGAGGGGGGAGGCAAAGTGGGGGTTTTCGAGCACTGCGAGTTGGGTGGTGCGGTCGGATTCAGCGATGGGGGTGCAGAATTTGTGTTGTGTTGGACAGAGTCTGCGCCTGGGGGAGCAGCTCGTTGAGTGCAAAACGAATCCGACCGTATGCCAAGGGTAGGTTCATTTAAATTTTGAGTATCCTGTTGATGGAAGCGGCAGGGGGGTTTGAAGGTGGACGGCCTCGATCCTATAGTTAGTTTAGAGGTAGGGAAGTGTAAAGGGATTGAAGAGAAGGCTGGGATGCATGTTGAAGGGGAGGTTAAAGGTGGGATGAATCTTTCCTGGTCTAAGCGAAAGGTCCATCCTTGGTTTCCTTTTATTGTCGGAGCCGGCTGTGTGGCTGACTGGCTTTGCGTTTGAAGCCCGTGATTCAGGCTTAGATGCAGGCCCTGTCTGCACTGCCCGCCCTGACAACAGAGACGAGAGAGGAGAAGAGACCGGGAGGAGTGGAATGAATCCGGCCGCCTTCTAGCGGGAGATTCATTCTGAGTTTTTGCCCATCCTACCAATGAAAGTCGCCTCCTACTGTCCCTCCGTTAGATCCCGCTACACCATGCTTCGTGTTTGCTGTTGTAACTCCGACACTTTGCTCGTCCTAGTGCTCCCCACACAGGGAGAACGTTAGTGCGGAGAGGCGGAGTTCACTACCAACTACCGGGAGCCGCGCTTCGCTGTGAATGACTTCGGGGCAGAGATGAATACTGTCGGAGGATTCGTCATGGGTCCACGCCTTCTGTTGATAAAGGAAGCGCGAGGTTAGTTGTGAGGCGGATCTTGCTTACTATCCTGCAGACAGAAGTGATGTGTAGTTGGCCAGGCGAGTAAGGCTTGCCTATTAGTTGGTGGGCTGCCCGTCCGACGCAAGGGGTCGCTGAAGCCAAGCTGCGGGGTTGGGAAGTCACCCGATGACGGGGCTACTATTGATCCTGTTGAACGGAGAAGAAAGGAGTCGCGGAGAGTGGTGCCAGTCGTGGGTTGGGGACGGGTCTCTTGACTGGTGCGACGCTATGTACTTCCAGGACTGATCAGTGTGGTGCGCGTCGCTATGAATAACCGGGCTCACCATGCAACTTTCCTCTGTGGCGGGATCATTGGGTGGTAGGAGCTGATAGCAGTTAAATTACTGCAGGAAACGTGAAGTGACTCTCTCGTGTTGGTGAGGGACTTCGCTGCGTCTCAGCACTACCGTATGCTCGGAGCCTTGCGGGATTGTGACGGTTAAATCTGGACTGTGGAAATTAAACATTTGAACTTTTGCCGAATCCGGTTGGAGAACTGGAGCGGCATGTTTGCTGTGTATGGCATTGGGCACCGCTGTACCTCCCATGAGAGACATTGTGGGTTTGCATTTGGCGCTTCATACCACTACGGCCACTTCCTACTACATGCAGTTGTTGGGCATGCCGCGCTGTGCTAAGATGTGGCTGTGACTTCTGGTACAAAGGCGAATCGCGGGGGTCATTGTAGGGACTTAGCAAGAGGCCTGCATGGGCGGTTCCGCATGCACAGCATTTGGCTGCTATGCAGCGGCGGTCCCGATTGAGTGGTGGCTGCGGTGAAAAGGGAGAGTGATGCTACGGACTAGGGAACTGTTCAGACGCCTCAGGGTGGAGGTGTCGTTGCTAATTGGGAAGTCGTCAGGGAGTCGACAACTGGTGGATTGACTTCACTCGACCAGCGGTTGGGTGCATTTTGGCTACCATTGTGGGGCCCTCAGGCGCTGAAGATTTGAAGGCCCTCTCACGCGAGTCTGAGTCCACCACTCTTGGATCTGAGAGCCTGAAATCTATCTCCTTCTGCCTTTCTTATTCTTAATCTAGTCTATTTGGTTACGAGAGGAAGGCGGCAGGCGGGATTGCAACCCGTAGAACCGCAACAAGGCTCTGTGGGGAGTCCACCCACTGATTGTCGGAGCTCTGCCGGAACTCAGGAGGAGTTCTGGAGGCAGGGAACAGACAGGTAATCGTTTGCTTTATTTCTATAATCCCATATTATACCCCTTATCTGTATCCCCCATTGCATCGCTGACTAAATATATGAAGTACAACCCTACTGGTTTGACTTTCAGGACACTGGATCAGATTAAGTAAAGGAATGTATGTTCCACTTTAGTTTCAACTTTGTTGATTGTGTGAAATCAGACTGTTAAAAGAAACTGCATCGGGGAAAGGCAGGATGGAGGACTGTTTTGGTTGAGGATTGACTGGGCCATCAAGACTGAGAAGTCCCCATAAGTTTGGGGAGACCCAGTGCTTTGTTTCTTTTGGTTTTGATTGAAGCATCAGACCCTTCTATAAGTTTAGGGAGTTTGATTGCTTTGGAGGCAAGGATGTCCCCATAAGTTTGGGGAGACCTAGTATTGTGGCTTGCATGGAGGGTCAGGCTGTTCTGTAAGTTCAGGTGGCCTGACTGCTCTGACCTGCGAGGGTTGACTATGTTCGATATTCAGGAGCTCAGGGCGCTTTATAAGTTTAGGTACTCTGAGCTGCCTTGCTCCTTGGGTTTTTCTTAAGTTTCTTTGTTTTTCAACGAGGGGACCGAGCTGTTCTGTAAGTTCAGGTGGCTCAATCTCTTCCTGCTTTTATTCTGAAAAAGTAATCTTTGGGAAAAGGGCAAACCCTTCTCTAAGTTCAGGGGGTCTGACTCAATGCCACACACATATTGGATCAAAGAGAAACGAATCAGGCAGAGAGTCAGACTGTTATGTAAGTTCAGGTGTTCTGACTCAAAGCGCGCACATGCTGGAACCCAAAGTTTATAACTTGGCTATATTTTATTATTATCCTATCTATGAACGAACTAATCAGACTGTTCTATAAGTTTAGGTGGTCTGACTATAGCCTATCACAACCTGAAAAAAGTAAAATTAAGAATAAAATTGGTGGTAAGTTGGGGCAGGTTGAACTTAAGTTAGTTCAGTCATATGCAACCTTAGAAAACTAAGTGCAAATAATTATATATAACTTGGATATCTTAAACAGTTCAGGGCGACTAGGATGGCCTAGTCACATGCCCAAAGAAGAGAAAAGTAGTTGTGCCCTCTGTTTTGTGTATAACTTGGCTAAGCTAGGCATGTCCCATAAGTTTGGGTGGCCTGACTTTACGCCTTATTTAAGCTGGGTATAAAGGGCTAAATCATTGAAAGATTACGAACTATTGTTTATCCAGGTTGACTTAGGGCTGGTGAGAATACTTACCTCTGTGGTTTGGCCTGCATGTGGTTGGGTGAGATGGCTACCTGATCTGAGTTTCAGTTTGATAGGTAGTTGTTTTAGATGCTCGCCACGGGCTAGAGCCATAGGAGTTAGATTTAATTGCTCCATTTTGTGAGCTAAGTTTTTTTTTCTTAGATCAATTCTCGCATTTTCTGGGATCTTTTGTTATACTTGGCTTTGTATAAATCTTGGCAAGCTACTTTCTCTACGGGAAGCGCTGCCGAAATTTCTATGAATCCAAGGAGTGCTGCCAAATTTTTGCTAATTTAGGGAGTGCTGCCAAATCTTGTACAAATCTTGGCTTTGTTCAACTTGTCTTTTCTTTTATATCTGACTTAGTAAAAATCGGGAAAGTCTCATTTTCTAAAGGGAGTGCTGCCAAATGTTTGCTAATTCAGGGAGTTAGACAAAATTGGACTTTGAGAAGTCAAAGTTAGTTTCAAGTTCTGAACTTAGCTTTGTATAAATCTTGGACTAACATTTTTCCAAAGGGAGTGTTGCCGAAATTTCTACAAATCTAAGGAGTTGTTAAATTTTGTCTTGACCGAAACTCGAGCTATTGTGAGTTCAAATATGAGATAGTATAAATCTGGGAAGTCTCCTTTTCTAAAGGGAGTGCTGCCCAAATTTTTACTAATTCAGGGAGTTAGACAAAATTTAACTTTCTTGAGTTAGAGATTATTTCTGCTTTCATATTTGAGCGTATATAAATTCTGGACATACAGTTTTCCTACGGGAAGCGCTGCCAAATTTTTTCTAGTTTAAAAGAGTTAGATTATATTTCGACAGGTGGCGATTCTGGTAATCCACCCTGGATAGGGGACATTATGCCATAAGTCTACCTTTCTTTGGGGCGCTGGCTTAGAGGTAGACTTAGACATAATTAATTAGGAGGATTCTGAGTGAGACTGTGATATGGAGATCATTCTCCATGAACTTATGATTTTAGCTTGGGGCATTGACCTGTCTTGTGCTACATGTCCTCTTGATCGTGTGACTCAGCATTTGGACTAGTTTCAGCTTGATCCCACGAGGATCATCTTCTGTTATCAGTAATAACAGGTCGGTTGGTTGATCGTCGACTTATCGGCTCACGATACAACTTTGCTTACACCTGTACCTCAACTTGATTGCCTTAGCCCTATAATTTGATATGTTTCTTTGAGGGCTGTAACCGGGCGTCTTTTAAATGACCATTATAAAAAAAACCTGTGAGATTTATGGAGATTTTGACCATGACTGAGACTCGAGTGTGTGAGGCCTGGTGTGAGTTACAGGCAACAGTAAAGTTGACCACATTGGTGTATGGCAATGTGGCTATTGTGTGTGTCTGTGTTTTATGCAGGTTAGTATTTTGGAGCTTGGTATATGGGTCATATTTTGGAGGCAGTGAGAATGACAACCATGTGTCGCACGACCTGCATACCTGATGGGTCTATGTTTCCCCTTCTTTTGTTGTTATCTCGATATCTGATTTGATATATTGGATGATTTTGCTTGTTAATTTTTATAGTTGGACGTTGTAGTCCGTGGCAGCCGTCAAGCTCAAACCCCTTGACTTTTGCCCAGGCCTAGAGTAGGACTTACCACCAGGGCCGCAAGAAATGACTGCCCACCACAGGTATGGACCTGTGTACCACCCGCTCTGCACAGAGTGCAAAAGAGGGTGTGTGGTCTTCAACCGCGCTTGGTGATTGTCCAGCGTCGAGAGATTAACCCTCAAGGCGCGTGTCAGCCGACACTTGAGTGTCGAACGTGACCCTCGAGATTAACGAGGGCCGCGCGAGTATGGGTGCTACATAGTACGCCATCATTGCGACCGCTTGCGTATGCTTGCATTGCAAGTCGATATGAGTTCGCCCTGCGTCCGCACGATTTTATACTAAGTCTCTCGCGCGACGCCTATCCGATTTCCGCATCGGAGAGTTATGGGTTGGCTACCGAGGGGCTAGGAGCGTTGTCGCGTTGTTTATGTTGTGTCGTTTCGTGTATATGTGTGTGTCTTGTTATCTTGTGGTCGTTAGAGTGGTGTGCGCATGGTGTGTGGGATGCGTCCTAGTCGACCGATGTCGAGCCGCGCTTGGGACTTCAACCCCTCGAGATGTCGGTTCGCGTGCGGGTCCGATAGAGGCATATTACCGCGCGTACCCCCTACGCTAAAGCGAACGAGAAACGCCCTCGACTGGTTCACCTCTGCGATTGCAACTGATTAGCTTCCGTACTGTGGACTGGTACCTCGGCGGGGATACGCCCATCGAAGGGAGGTGACAACTCCTGTAAGGTGGAGGTAAGATTGTGCGTCGCGTAGGCCCTGTCCTGTCGTAGGGGCTCGCGAGAGGTATGGATGGCGCACTTGGCCGGAGCGGCCTAAGGAAGCTCCACTTGTGTGTTTGTAACGAAGAATTTAAGCTAACTCCTGCGTGACGCGGCCGAGAGGGTCCCGCGCTGCCCCGTGCGGTGCCGGACCGATGTGCTCGACACCGCTCATCTTGCGCGTCCACGGTCTTCAGGACCACCCGGATTCCATCCAGACTTTGGATGGAGAGGGTCTGACTTCCATCAGGTAAGTCAACCGTGGTAGCGTGAACCGCTCTCAGCCAGGTTTTACCGAGGATCAACTCGGAGGAACACTCTTTCAACAAAAATATTGGGGTCGAGGCCTCGACGCCTGCGACCTCGATCACGGGGTTGTGACACACCCCTTCTGCCATTTGTAGCTTGTTATCCGCTTCGACCATTGACATCGATACCCCCCTATCTATTTCCAAGCCTAGCTACTGGGCAATAGAGTCTCTACATACCGTGGATTCGGACCCATTGTCTACCAGAGCCCTCATCTTCTTCCCACTCACCACCGCGTGGAGCTGGCCGCTCCCTAATACATAGAACTTTTTGGCATCCTCCCCCGAGAAGAAGTTAGCCGACAACTCCTCCATGGTAATTCGGGAGGACTGTACTTCTTCCTTGGCCGGACCTTCCCCCGGTACCGTGGGTCCCCTGGCGAGCGGGACTCTTACCTTCTTCGTGATGCTTAGGAGTTCTTCCCTAGCGCTTTTGCTGGCTGCTAGGTATTCCAGAAGCGTGCACTGCATAGGCTGCATCAGGGTTCTCTTAAGGGGAGCTACCGTGTCTATCTCATCCAAGGTGCATTTCATTTCGAACTTTTCCGCCGCCCTCTTCCTAGGCGATTTGGGTGAAGTGGGCTCCTCCTTCTTTTCTTCCGCAACTTTGGCGTCGGCCATTTGTTGGTCGTCGTCGCCGCTCCTTCCTCCTCCATTTTCTGACACGTTCTCTTGGCTTTTAGATGTCTCGGCCCCAGCCTGTGTTCTTACCCTCAGGCAAGACCCGTCTTCTTCAGGGCGGGTCTCAACGAACTTGATGCTGGACACCTGGGGTTCCCTAATGGACACACCTCCTGGAGATTCCGTCATTTGGACATGGGATGAGTTGGAGGTGCCCCCAATTTTAAGTTTCTTCCCCAGGCTCGCCTCCTGGAGGGTTATTCTCTTGTCCACATTCACCTTCATTGACGGGTAGAAGGAGACCGCCTCTCCACCATCTCCCCACACAACCCATTTGTTTTCATTTAGCTTGACCACCCCCAACCTTAAGGCCTCCGTGAGATGAGGACAGTCCCTTTTGATGTGACTTTCTTCATTGCAATAAACACACCCACTTCGAGCTTGCTTGTTGTTGGGGCGCGGACCCCCTTGCATCACAGCGGCTATAGGCACAGGGGGAGTCGGCGGCGGTGACGCAGGTGGTGGCGGAGCCCTGACCTCAGGTCGCGCCCCAGTGGCCCTCACTTGAGGCGTCTCTCCCCACCTTCCATCCCTAGCATCCTTCCAATGAGAATTTTCCTAATCGGGGCCTCGGTTTCCTCCTATCTCCCGGTCATTTCTCCAGCCTCCTTGGTTTCCTGACGCGTTTCTCCATCCCGTTTGCCGTTCTCCCCATTGTGGACCAGGTGGACCAAATGGACCCGGGGGTGGTCTGTCACTCCCCCGAGGGCCATCGTTCCGTGTGTTGAGCATACTACGAGCGCCATGTCCAGGGTTTCATGTATTCCCTCACGTCCACTCCTCCTCCCGTGAAGACTACCTCGGCGACCTTCTCGAAATTGGCCGAGTCTCTTGGGGCTTTTTCAAGGACTTCTTTCCTTTTCTCCTCGGGTAGGTGCAACATAAACATTACGCACCTATCCACCTCCGACAACATCCCTCTATCCACTAGGGCTTGGGACAAGCGCTTGAACCTCCGGGTGAAGGCCACCAAGCTCTCTCGTTCTCCCCTCGTAACACGACGCAAGCCCTCTACGGTGGGGATTAGATCATCATACGCGAAAGTCCGTAATAGACCACTTTTAAACGTCCTCCACCGCCCATCTGCTGGGTAGATAGCCCTAATTGTTGGGTCTAATTCCGGGTCCGAGTGCTGGATGAAGTGTTCTATCCACTCCTTCTCGGAGAACCTCTTCCGGTAAGTATAACTCTCCCACTTCTCGATGAACCCAGTCACATTACGTCCGTAAAAAAAAAGTGCTTCTAGGCCCAAGTTGACGTCGTAGTAGGGGACTCTTCGGTCACCGTAACGACGGAAATAGGGTCCCTCCATAGGCCCGTCAATCACCGGATCGTACGGCTTGTACCAAGAGGGGTCCGGCTCCTCAATCCGTTGTCGGGGTCTCGGGGACCCCGAAGGTTCTTCCCCGTAGCGTCCTCTCTTATTCGGCCATTTCGTCTCCCAACGTGCGGGTTCCTGCCCCCTAAATCCTCTCCAGGCGTCCACCCCCGGACTTCTCCCCATTACCTCTCCGGGAGCCCATGCAGCATCCGATTCCCTCTCGGCCCACCTTCGTGGCCTACCGCCAGCTTCCGCCGACCTCTCTTCTCTCAGGTCCCTTCTATTCGGACCCCCTTCTTCTTCCCTCCTAGGTAGTCGGCACCCTACCCTACCTCCCGGAAACTCTTGTGCTTCTCCCATCCTTGCTTCTGCTTCCACTAGATCCGCCCATCAAGACTCCGCCGGAAGGCCCCTCGAGGCTTCGGTCGTCCCTTCTCTTACTGGCACCCGCGACTCTACCTCCCTATGTACTCGCACTTCCGCGCTAGCTCTTTGTCCCGCTAAGGCTTGCCTTTCTCCTGAGGCAGTCTCGGGGCTCCTTTTGGCCCACCTTCGTGGCCTACCGCCAGCTTCCGCCGACCTCTCATCTCTTAGATCCCATCTATCCAGACCCCCTTCTTCTTCTCTCTTAGGCGGTAGATGCCCTGGCCTATCTCTCGGAAATTCTGGAGCTCCTCCTACCCTCGCTTCGGCGTCCAATAGATCCGCCCACCGGGACTCTACGGGAAGGTCCCTTGGGGCTTTGGACGCCCCTTCTCTCACCGACGTTCGTGGCTCCACCTCCCTATGTACTCACACTCCCGCGCCACCTCTTTGTCCCTCCGAGGCTTGCCTTTCTCCTGAAGCCGTTTCTGGGCCCCTCTCGGCTCTGCTTATCGACTCTATACCCTCAGTCATTTCTTCCGTCACCCTACTTAGCCTAGCTCCCAACTTGGGGCTCTTCTCGACACTCCTTCTTACAGCCGTTTCTGGTGGACGGGAGAGTCCGGCGTCCACCTCACTCTCCATGCACCCTATCGTTATCCTCTAATCGCTCCCCTCACTATCGTCACTCCCTTCCGAACCGTCTTCTTCTCCCGAGTCCTTTTCCCCCTGACTCGATTCCTGGATCGTACTATCTTCTTCCGACTCCTCGTTCGTCACAGTCCACCAAGAGTCCCTTAATCGTTTTTCTTCACAGGCTGCTAAGGCCAAGTTGGCGATCTCTAGGTCGGAAATCCCCCTTACCCCCTCTTGAGAGCATCGCCTGATCAGGGCCCTATCCACCTCTCCGGGTTGTCCTCGAAACAAGGGTTTGATGAATTTTCCCACGAGCGCCCACCACTCAAAGTCTGTGTCTTCTCGCGATTCCCAACACTGGGTGAACAGTTCGTGACCCCCTTCTTCGCCTAATGGGAATTTCTCTATCACATGTCCCTAATTTCGGACCCTCCTTACGGTTGCGTCGTCCGCGTAGAGTAGATGGTAGGCCCAGGTTGGGATCTCCCAGGTTCTCCTGTGAGCGGCCCTTGGAACTTCCGACCTTCCTCGGTATTCCACTCTATCAACCACGCGTCCCTCGGCGCCGCCCCCTCTCAATCTCCTCAGTCGGTCTAGGGCCTTTCGAGCGATGTCTAGGGGGTCTTTCCCCTCCGCTAACTCGGTTGCGAAGAACCGTCGGTCTTCGGGAGACAGAAAGATCTCTGCCTTCCTAGTGCGGCTTCCCCCTTCGGAGACCACCGAGAACCGCACCACCGTCTCTTGCCCGTAGATCTCGAAGAACTTTGTAGACACCACTCCTTCGCCTCTAACCCGGGGGAGGGTTACCCCATACCTCTCTCCCGATTTCCAAGCTCTCTTTAAAGTACCAACTGGGTCCCCCCTATCGTATCTAATCATTGGGGGCCTCACCTCACGCCGGCCAACCTCGCGGCGGCCTCTACCAGCGAGTCCTCACACTTAACGCGACCGATCTCTCCTTCCTCGCGCAGTGTCTGGCGCAAGGCCCCTTCGTACTCTCCCGTCCTATCCCAAAATCGCGTATCCACAAGGTGGATCCTAGATGCGAGCAGAATTCCTAGATATCTAGAATCTTCTTCGAATCTTCTCTCTACTTCCGACAACGGCTCTCTCCAAGTCCTCGAGGACCTCACCCCACTTGCCTCTCTAATGTAGACTGAAAAGCTAGCGAGCGTGGTCCAGAGCCTCCTTTTCCATAAGGCCAGCCGTCGGACCTCTACTAGAAATTCCTTCTCGACACGGATCACTCGATCCTCTCCAAGTTCCGGATTAAGTTTCACACTTCCCTCGACCTTAATTTCGTTACCGTCTTCGCAAGTCCCTAATTTCCAACAAATCCTATTGGAGACGAACGTAGCTCTCGTACCCTCTCCCCTCACCGAGCGAGAAGATCTATCGTTAACTCGTCTAGGATTGCGATCGCAGCTATCTCCAATAGTTTGATCCTAGCTAGGGATTTAGGCCTCGCCCTTCTTTCTTCCTCCCAACACAGAGTAAGTATCCGGAGAACTTCTTCTCTCACCCTTTCCAACCCCATAAGCTCGCCAAGGTCAGGCTCGCTCATCCCCTAGTTTCCGTCGGCGACACGCGATCGCGATCCGAATTAGATCCGAGGGGTCCAATCCTCCTAACTCCCCTTCGCAGATCTTACCCAAGTATCTCCACGATATCTTTGATTCCCTCGCGTGTCGACCCCACCCTTCAAAGGCGTAACCCATATCCTCTAGAGTCGACCAGTCATCTCCATAAGGATCCCGGAAACACCATGTTAGCAAGGTATGGAGGTCCGATCCCGTAAACCGGAACTGGTTTGGATGGAAATCCTTCTCCCTACCGCCCTCTTGACTACCTCGGAGGGGTAGATCCGCTCAAGGATGAAATGGGGAACTCCCACCGGCTCACTGGAGATGGACTGTGGTATCTCCTCCCACCCCCCATAGGTCACTCGATATTCTTCTTCGCACCCTTCGCGAGGCTTCACCTCCTCTACTATCTCTTCTAGTCGATCTCTTACGGCTTGCACGTCCCAGAGAGGGTCCTTCCCAGCCTGCAAGTTGCGTGCTATTTCTATAAGGCCCTCCTTCGAAAGGAATATTTGGGCTTCCCCAATCACTACCTTCCCCTCGCTACTCACCGCTAATCGCACGAACGCCTTCCCACGCCGGATTACCCCTTCTTCTCTCAGGAGGGTCTTTATTGGTCCTTCCAATCAGGCTCTAGGTAGAGTGACACGGACAACTTCCCCGGTATCTTCTATCGGTTCTATTGACGCCCAGAGAGTTCTAAGGACCCTCCTTATCATCAGCCTTCGAACCCCCGCCGGTTCGCCACCTGCTCTTCCCCGAAGAGGCGGGCATACGGGACGTCCGCTACGTGAGCTCTGATCTCCTCAAATTCTCTCAACCTCCCGAATATTGTGGACAATTCTCCTCTTGGAGGAACCCCCGCGTCCACGCACCGCGTGTAGAGCCAGAACAAACCCCTAGCCCGCACTCCGGACTCCCGAGCCACTCTAAGCACCGCTACTACCCTCTCCTCCGGGTCCCTCAAGAACGAGTTGGCCAAGAATTGGGGTAAGTTCGCGTGGAGGACCCCAGACGCACGAGGGACCTCACCAGGCTCGACGAAGGACACTGGAGTCCATGACTCGAAAATCCCTTCCTCGTAATCAGCTAGCACCAAGTTATTCGCTACCAGCCTCGCGGACTCTCGGTATTCCGTATGGGTCACTTGCCCAGTTGCTAAGCCCCTCCACACTTCAGTCCACGCCTCCTCGTTGAGGAAGATCGTAGCCCGAATCTCTAGGAAGCGACCGAGGTTCGGTGGGCCTCCTCTTTGCACTCCTTCCTTCCAAGTGTACCTGCGAGCTCGAACCCACACGAAGGCCCCTTCTCTTATCACTCCACCTTTCTCAACGCTCATCCAGTAAGGGGTCACGCGAGGGTCACCCAGAATCAAGACTTTACCCGCGTCACTAGCCTCTATCGACTCTACCGCCCCGTTCTCACTAAGTACAAATCTCACCATCTACCGATGTTGTTTTAAAAACCCACTGGCGATATCTTCCTGGTGAAAGAGTGAAGGGTTTCTCCAGAGACCCCAATTTCCTAAAAATACCCCAAAGCTTCCTGCATGGAGGGATCCCCTGATCGATGCAATGCGTATACAACGTCCACAGAGCCCCAAAGGGTAGTCCCTAACTCCTACCCTTTTTTAGAAGCCTTACTGTCTTCCCTTCGTTTGTTCCTAGGAACAGGAAAGTCGGCACCCTTACAGTCAACGGATAACACGACCTCGGAAGCTCTTTCTCCCCCGCGAACCTCTCCTTCTCTATAGCCACAAACCTAAGTCGCTCTCGAACCCTACCTATCCATTCTCTTTGCACTTCTCTTGCCTCCCATAACAACTTATCCAGCCCACCCCCTTGTCCCAGGACCAGGGGTACTACGACCTTTGCCCAAGCTTCCGGGGCTACGAAGATAACCGCGGTCACCTCGAGACTCCTCTCAACCCCTCGCCCCTTAACCTCGTTGGACTCTATCCAACGAACTCCCCACTGACCGTGACCCTTTCCCCTTCTATCCTCTTCCAATCGGGGATCTCCCCGTTGCTAGGGATCAATCTACAGGTCTCACAGCCTTCTACGGAGGATTCGACGAAGCGTCCCAGCTCTCTATCATGGAACACCATTCATTTTAAACATTCTCTGGGATACTCCGAAGACCCTTTGGTAACCGTAATCTCGCCCGCCCTCGCGGTCCAGAGCCGATTCCCTAAAGATTCCTGTACGAATCCTACACGCTTTGATTCCGTATGGTACCGGGTTATCCACGCAGTAGGTGTAGTACCAATGGAGCGACCTAAAGGATAGCTGCCACCCTCTTTCCCGCACTATGGACCGCACAACCCTCTCGTATCGCTCCTCCTTTCCACTTACCCTTCGGCAAACGAAGGATGGAAATATGGCCTTGACGCACCCCGAGGCGCGAGGGTACTCCTCGTCTCGAGCGCAAGTCACCCGCACCTCGATCGGTGGGCAGTAGCGAAGGGGCTCCGCCTTAAAGATTTGCCGCAGAATCGGACCCACTCGAGTCTCCCAATGATCCGTACGGTACCAACCTAGGACCCAGTGAGTGACGTAATACACCCAGGCCTCCCTACTCAAATAGACCGTTCCTTCCCCACGGACCACCGTCCGTCTAGGCCTCTTTCCATTCTGGGGCCTATTCCAGGACCACCTGTCTCCTTCCCAAGTTCCTACCGCGAACCGCGCCCAAACGAAACCCCCCTTCTCTAGCTCTAATCCTCTCTCGCGACCGGCCAGATATCTCTCAGTGCGATGGTATAAGGGGACGCTAAAGCACTCCATGTCCTTGCTTAAATCTGCCCTTTCGATTCGAACCCCTTCTTCGGCAGTACTTTCTATAATCCTAACCATCCCTTTGGACTTTCTCCTCGATGATTTGGACCAGTGCTCTCCACCCGTCCGAACCGTCAAGGAACGCTTCCGGAATAGTAGGAGCAGGCCGCTCTCCTTGCAAGTACGTCCGGTACCCCAACGAGTAGAAGTAATTGATTGCGTAGGCCCCAAGCAGTTCCTTCTCAAGCCGCGCGTGGCCGACTGCTTCCTCCCAACTATCCAAAAAGCCTGCCTCTCTATCTACACCCTCCTCTACGTACAAAGCTATGTCGAAGTCGCCAGTCCACCAGTAGAAATTGTAGAACCACAAGTCCACCCCGCCTTGGCTACCCACACTAATTCCCGCCGGTTCAAATTCTAGAGCCCTCAAACTCGTGGAGTCGCCGTTCTCACTACTCTCTCTACGATCCCTATTAGTACTTTCCAATCGTCCAATCCGTCGAGATAAGTGTCCGGAATTACCGGCGCCGGGCGACCACCCCTGGGGTAGGTTCGGTAACCTAAAGAGTAAAAATACTTAAACCCGTAACCCCTCAACTCCCCCTTTGCACCGCGAGAGTGGCCTACCACCTCCTCCCAACTACGAAGGAAATCCTCCCCTTGATCTAGCCCTTCCTCCACGTAGACACCCACGTCAAAGTCACTCGTCCATAGTCGAAATGTATAGCACCATACGTCAATACCCCCGTACGTGCATACGCTAATCCATTCCGGGACGACTTCTAAGTTCATGCAATATAATAAAAAAGAATCTCTAAGTTCCACTTCCTTTTGGCCACTCGAGAGACCACCTCTAACCCGCAAGGAGAAGATGCCAGTGAGCTCAGAAGGATCAAATGGACCAGAGAAGGAATGTCGTCTCACTCGACTACCTTCCTGTCCTCCCCCGCTGAGAGACCCCTTCCCACTCCCGATATAGAGACTAGCTGCGGACACAGGTTATCCCCGAGGAACGGTGGCAACCCCCTCCCCGGAGTCGGACCGAAGTCACACACCCGGGTCCTATGTCCCCCACTCAACCGACCCCTAGTCCTAAGTTAGCCTAACTGGTACCACGCCTCTACTCGGCCCACCTCAAGCGTGGAATTACACCCCATTCTCCTCCTCGCATCATGAACTCTTCATGCTTCGTTCGCTCCTTCCATCTCGCCACCGTCTGACTCTTTTCTCTCTTTGAATCTCAAGACTTTAATTGGGGTCTTCGAAGAAAAAGGGAGGGGAAAGCAGAGAAGATCAAGAGAAGCCCTCAGGGTTATGGTTCTGGATTACGTACCTCTTAGCCTTCGACCCTTTTTATAACTCGTTCTCAAGTCCGAGAAATCGGCTAGACACCGATCCACCCAGGATTCGGCCTCCGACCCCTCGTCCAAGGAACCCCACGTATCTCTCACTTCCCTATCCCCCTCGCTTGTAATGGCGGTTGTACTTCCCCCGCTCCCTTGCGGGAGCCAAATCACTAGCGGGACCCGTCCACAACCCGTGTGGGTCGAGAACTGAAAGCCCAGACCCCTCTCTCGACCCCCTTTCCCGTGCGGGAGTTATACCCCGAGTGGGTGCCCTCCACAATCCGTGCGGGTCGAGGATATTTGGCGACCCCTTAGGGTCCCAAATAGACAACGCCCTCGGATCCTCTCGAACCCCTCTTTCCTCTCTTCCCCTCGTTTCCACTCTCTCTCTCTCGCGCGAGCGGACCCACTCACACTATTTCCTCGAACGGTTCTTCTCACCCCCCCTTTGTTGTTCTTCACCCTCATTCAGACCCCTCAAGCAAACTGTGCACCCTCTTAATTTTTAGATTTTTAGAAATAAACACTCGTAAAACTAAGAACTCATTCCAAAAGAAACTGACCTGGTTACCCTTCGGAGGCCGAGAGCGGGAGCAGGAGTCGCAAGCAGGCCGGAGCGGACCTGCAAAATCCAAGGAAAAGCCCGACACCCCAAGCCGCGGCACCCACCAGGCCCCAACAACCCCAACAAGCCCGACACCCCAACAACAACCCTTTCCCTCGCAGAAATAAGTCCCCAATCCCGCTCAAGTGTCGTCGTCGCGAAGAAAGTTGTAGCCGAATCGAAAGAAGATGTTGATTTGAAGCCGTTAAGAGACTTGAAGCCGAAGAACTTGATGCCGAAACCCTCTCCACTACCTGTCACGCCGATTCCTCCCCCCACACCGCAGTTTATGGGCCGGCCGCAGCCATGGGAGAAACGCCCATCCCTGACAACGGCGCCACTTTGTCAGCCAGCCCTTTCTCCGGACCCCTCTAGGTCTCGCGGGACCAGGAGCTGGTCGCTAAGAGCCCTTCACTTTCGGCGGCGTCCTTTTTAAACCCGACCGCCTGTTTCCCTCCCCACTTAGGTGTTTTTCAAGTTTTTGTTGGATCCGGCGAGGCCTGCCTTTGAACAGTGTTTTTGGGCCTGCGAACCCGTGGCTTCTCAAACCCCGGTGGACTAGAGAACAGAGGACGTGGTTCCCGGAGTCCAAAACGGCCAAGTAGAGAACATCAATTTTAGATTGACGAGCTTGGGGTCAGGGAGCCGCGGCCAATGGGCTGGGAAGGCAGCCTACTCTAACCCGGCAAACTCGGAAAGGATAACTGTGAACAACGGACTGACCAGACCCGCAAGAGCAGGGAGCTCAGAAACCGGTTTCGCAAACCCAGAGAGCTTGGAAACGACAATCAGCGAATTCGAAACTCGAGACCAGAAAACCCAAAAGAACTGAGAGTGTCGCGAGTTACAAGATTCTTCCCCAAAAACAGAAAACTTGAAAACGACAATCGGCGAATCCGAAACTCGAGACCAGAAAAACCCAAAAGAACTGAGAGTGCTGCGAGTTACAAGATTCTTCCTCAAAAACAAAGAACTTGAAAACGACAATCAACAAATTCGAAAGTCGAGACCAGAAAACCCTAAAAGAACTGAGAGTGCTGCGAGTTACAAGATTCCTCCCCAAACACAGAGAATTGGAAAACGGCGGACAACGAGCTAGGAACTTCGATGGCCAACGAGCTCAACTGCCTCCTTGGGACCGGAGCTCGGAACCCGCGATCAGCGGACTCGCAGCTCACCACCCAAAGGAACTGCTACCTTTGAACAACGAAAAGTGAGATCGAAGCTCGAAGTCGGAAAAATTTGAAAGGAACCAGAGCTCGGCGAGTTCGAGGATGGACCTCCAAATTCAGAAAACTTGTGAACAACTCAACATGAACTTGGAACCTGAAACTGGAGAACTCGAGCGAAGCGTGAGCTCAGCGAGCTCGAAACCAACAGAGAGCTCGCGCCGGAAACAAACCAACTTCGCAACGCAGCCCCGTCGAGGCCTGGCCGAAAACAGGGTGTCGGCACATCGTCTCGAGTAGTGCTCTGGTTATGGCTTCGCATGTCGCCGCTGCGACTACTCTCGACGCCCACGTCCTTGTCTTTCTCTCGCTTTCCCAGTTTGTTGGTCAGTCGTTCGAGTCGGACCTCAGCTCCCCCCCCCTTCTCTCTCTCTCTCTCTATCGCTAAACCGAATGTGCGCCACCACTGTCGTGCTCTGCCGCGTG